AACCTTCAACACCTAGAATTATCCATGCTCGATTACCCCTCTGATGAAATGCAGCCTCACATCAATGTGCTTAGTTCTCTCATGATAGGATGAGTTCTTAGACAAGTGTATTGCACTTTGACTATCATATTTAACAGTGATAACTTGACCTTGAAGTTTCAGCTCCTTAGCAAAACCTTCAAGCCACAATGCTTCTTTCACAGCTTTAGTGAGGGCAATATATTCTTCTTTTGTGGTTGATAAGGCAACAAACTTCTAAAGTGTCCCTTTCCAACTGATTATTGTGCCAAACATAGTGAAAATATATCCAAAAATAGATATCATGGAATCCATACAACCTGCATAATCAGAGTCAACATATCCTTTGATTACTCCTTTACTATCTTCACCCAAGGCTCCACCATAAATTAAGACAATGTTTAGAGACCCATTTATGTACCTTAGAATCCACTCCAGTGCTTTCCAGTGAGCCTTTCTAGGATTCTTCATGTACCTGCTTACAAGACTTACTGCATATGCTATGTTGGGTCTAGTACAGACCATAACATACATCAAAGAACCCACTATGTTAGCATATGGGATGCTATTAATATAATCTCTTTCGACCTCAATACTTGGACATTGATCTATACTCAGCTTAAATTGGGGGTATGTTGGAGTCACTACAGGCTTTTAATTTGACATACCAAACTTGTCGAGAATCTTCCATAGGTAAGCCTCTTGAGATAAGCATAATTTTGACTGCTTTCTATCTCTTTGGGTGTCAATCCCAAGAATCCTGGATGCAGCTCCCAAATCCTTCATGTTGAACTCCTTATTGAATTTATTCTTCACCCTCATTACATATTTAACATTGTTTCTTGCTATGAGAATATCATCCACATAAAGAAGCAAAATAACAAATGGATTACCAGGTTGAAATCTGAAGTAAACATTATGGTCGAACTGGCTTCTAATGAAACTTATGTGTGTCATGAACTTGTTGAATCTCTTATTCCACTATCGATGAGATTGTTTCGGCCCATATAAAGATCTATTCAACTTGCACACATAATCTTCCTTTCCATTTTCTACATACTCTTCAGGTTTCCTCATCAGGGTTGATTCATCTAGATCACCATACAAGAACGTATTCTTCATCTATTTATTCTAGTTTAAGGTCGAACTGTGCCATCATGGCAAGGAACATTCCAATGGACCTGTGCTTCAAAATAGGAGAAAACACATCATTGAAGTCAAAACCTTATTTCTAAGTGAAACCCCTTGCACCCAACCTTGCCTTGTATCTTTTTTTCGCGACTCCTTTGATTCCTTCCTTAACTTTGAAAATCCATTTACACTTGACTAACCTGGCTCCAACAGGTTTCTAGATCAGTTCCCAAGTGTTGTTATAATGAAGAGACTTCATCTCATCATCCATCTCCTTCATCCAATTAGTCTTATTTCAACTCCTCATAACATCCTTATGGTCTCTAGGTTCTTCGCCTAGAACCTCACTAGCAGAGATTTAGGCATAACGTATAAGATTTGCATACCCAAGTCTCTGAGGTGGCTTAATGACTCTTCTGGTTCTATCTCTTGCCAATAGGTAGTCATCAATAGTTTCCTCAACTTCCTCAGCATCTTCTGCTTCTTCTTCGACTTCATCTAGGATACGCAATTCAACATCAACAAGCTCCACCTTAGTAGGAATCTCTCTCTGTTCTAACTCTTCGTCATATATTTCTGCACTTCAACCAACATCATCAGTTTTCTTGAAAGCCATTTTAGCTTTATTAAAAACTACATCATGATTGGTGATACACCTCTTGTAACCTGGCTCTAAGCACCATATCCTATAAGCTTTGACTCCTTCAAGGTATCCCATGAACATGAATTTCAGAGATCTAGGTTCGATCTTGTCTTGCATAATGTGAGCATAGACTACACAGCCAAATACTCTCAGTTTGTCGAGATCTGGTGGATGTCCTGATAAAAATTCTTCAAGTGCTTTCATATCTAACGCAATCGAAGGACATCTGTTTATCAAATATGTTATTTTTGAAACAACATCAGACCAAAACACCTTTTTTAACCCATCACTAGTCAACATGCATCTTACTCTCTCCAAAATAGTTCGATTAAAACTTTCAGCCAAACCATTTTGTTATGGAGTACCTGCAGTAGTTATGTGCCTTGCAATACCAGATGCAGCATACAAGTTGTCAAAATCCTCATTGCAAAATTCAAGGCTATTGTCGGTTCTCAACCTATTGACCTTTCTGCTAGTCTGATTTTCGACCAAAGTCTTACAACTTTTGAAATTCTCAAAAGTTTCTTCCTTAGTATTTTGGATGAATGCTCATAACTTTCTGGAATAATCATCTACTATGGATAGAAAATACCTTGCTCCTGAATATGATGGACACCTTGTAGGCCCCCAAAGATCAACATGGATGTAATCAAGGGATCCATGTGTTCTTTGTTTGCCTTTGTTGAACTTCACTCTACAAGATTTTCCAAGTACACATGGTTCACAAAATTTCAGTTTTTCGACTTTGTCTCCACCAAGAAAATTTTGTTTCCCTAATTTGACAAGACTCCTTTCAGTGGCATGGCCAATCTCATGTGCCAAATTTTTGTCTTCGAAAAAGATTTTGTGGATGCAAAATTTGTTGAACCACTTACAACTTCAGTCTCAAGGATATACAAGCCTTGTTTTTTCATCAGAGGCAAAGTATAATGCATTGGCTCAAGAAACTTGTGAAGGTAAATGGCTTATCTACTTACTCAATAACTTTTAGATATCACATCAAGTGTCAATCATCATCTATCATGAGAATAAATCTACTTTGTGCATAACAGCAAATCCAATATTCCATGAGAGAGCAAAACATATAGAAATTGATTGTCATGGGGTAAGAGATAAAGTGCTAACATGTGTAGTACATCTAATGCCCATCACTTCAAAGGAGCAAGTTGATGATATGCTCACAAAGTTATTGCACCCAAGTCCATTCAACAATCTTCAAGCCAAACTAGGAATGGTTGATATACATTCTAGCTTGAGGGGGATGTTAAATGTAATGATGAAGAAGAGAATGTAGTTAAACTTGTCGATATATATTCAAAAGAAAAAAGTAATTAAATTCAAGTTACACTACGCCAAAAATGATTTTTTGTATCACCTAATTTAATAGCACTTTTAAAAAAAATGCTATTAAAATAGAAAAAACACATTTATAATAGCACTTTTTAATCGGGCGCTATTATATAATACAGACTATGTAATTTTGATAGCACTTTGTACCAGAACGCTATTATTAAACTTCTTTAAGATAGCATTTTGTATAAAACGCTATTATTTGACTACCTATATAATAGCATTTATTAAAAAGCGCTATCTTATATATAATAATGAATTAATTAATTAATTGATAAAAAAAAAAAAAAAAACACATTTTCAGAAACCTTTCTCTCCTTCCATATCTGATCCACTTTTCTCAAGCTCCCGTCAAAACCTCTACATCATGAACCCTAGAAAGCTAAAGTATGGAATTAACCGGTAACGAAGCTTGCAATCACGCTATTGGAAGAGGAGAAATGTTTAGAGGATCCTAAACTACTCTGTGGTATAAAGAAAGCTAAGAGAATTTGAGGAAAGGACTAACTTGTTGGCGGCGGTTATCGTGTTGGAGAGGAAGACGAAAGAATCGAAAGAAATTAGATCTCTCAGGTACGATTCAACACTTCCGGCTTTACGTTTTCACCTCTACCTTCTTCTCCTTTTTGCTACTCGTTCTCTACTTCTTTTTCTTGCGTTCTTCATGCACTAATTCTGCGTTGTTGCTGCGTTCTATTGTAGATTCGTGATGTTGTTTCTGAAGTAATGAACAAAGATGTTGCGATGATGATGACACTTGCAGATTCCGAAAGCGGAGATGAAAATTGAAGGTTCTGCCCCCATGCTACAGAGATGAAGATTGCAAGAGGAAGTAGAGAGAATTGAGAGAGATTTCTTAGATAGGGTTCCGAGAAGAATGGTGAGTGTTTTTCTCTAATTTTTCTGTGACTTTTTCTGGTGTGTCTGAATTGTGAACTCCCTCCTCACTTTTCTGTTATCTGTTAGGAAGTTGGTTAGAAACAGTTAAGGGTTATGGAATCTGTTAGAAGTTAGCTTTGACATCAATTTTCCCCTTTCGATTTTCCCGGCCACACCACCGCCGTCATCGCCGCTTCATCCACCGACGACAGCGGCATCCCGTCTCAAGATCTCGCAGTTCTCCTCGAAGTCGACGGGTGAATTTTCGCTTTTCTTCGTTATTAACAATCTCGTTTCAGTTTCACTCTGCTCAACTTGTTTGAACTGTTGTGGTTGTTAATTGTTTTATTTATTTATTTATTTGTTTTTTAGGGTTCTTGTGGATGCATACCGTGGGAATCGCATAGCCTTCAATAAAGGTATCAACAGTTCGACTGTGCTCACTGTCACTGCTCATCTATAATTCCATATTCTCCTTGTGTTATTCTGTTTTCATGGAGTGTAACGAACTGTTGTTTTTCGATTTTGATTTCGATGTTGTGCTTGCAGCATTTGAGAAACTTGGACTTGATTGTGCGAGCTGGAGCGAACCTGTCTATTCAGATCTTTTAAGGTGTTTTTTTGGTTATTTGTTGTTATATTATTTTCTTGCCTGTGCATATGTTCTAATGGAAAAGGTGATGATGATACACTTAGATTTCATGAGTTCTTGTAATCAATGCATTGAATTTCAATGAAGTCTCAGTTTGGTAGGGACTGTAGTTGATAATACTGTGAATTTGAATTATAAGACTTCACTGCTACATTCCCTGCTACATCATTCAAGAATGGCATGTAAGTATTATCTACTTAATTTTTGTTTCATTACATTCCCTGCTACATCATTCAATTTGTTGGTTGGATTATCATGAAAATTTAGTGACGTGAAATCTCATGCATACAATAGATTTTGAAAAGACCAAATGGTATTCTCTTTAAGTTATCTACTGGTGCTGCCAGATAAATCGCCAGAAAGTCCACTTCAACATGAAACTGATCCCGTTTGTGATGTGCTGTTAGCTCGAGCTTTCAGGAACTGTCGTATCCGGAAAGCGTCGCGAGGAGGTGGTTGGCTTTGGAGAGATGTAGCATCATCATCTTCTTGTCCTAAACATTATAATAACAAATATCAATCATGTTAAAATTGGAGTTTGATTTCAACACTAGAATAAGAAAAGCTAAAAGCACATTCTTGTATATTTGATGAATTGTGTGATTGTGTCTATTGTAGAGAGCTTATAGAAATAAGTCCAAAAATGGATTATGCACATACTGTCTAATTCTTTTCTTTTCCCATAATGGTTGCTACCAGAAAGTTCACTTGTAGCAGGAGCAGGACCTCCTGGCAATTGCGATTGAATCCCAATTTTACCACTTTGTCCCATTGGAAGGTCGTTATGTAAGCAAATCGATAGTACGATATCCACATTTGGAGTTGGACCTGTATATTTCAATACACAGTTATCGAATGCGTTTAGATATACTTTAAAAATAGAAGAGTACATAGGTGTCTGATACGTATCTGATACTGATATTTCTCGATACATATCCAAAAAGTATACTTTTGCTGTTTCTAGATTGCATAGTTAGCAGAAATATTGAAAATTACCATAAACTGTGGGTAGGTTTGCTAAAAATGCAACCAAAGCAGGTGGTGTAGCTTTAAGAATTTCATCAAATGCATTTGTGCCAGCACCTGTACCCGGATTCTGCTTTGGATCATATACCAACATCTTTGAAGTATCAGGATAGACAACCTTTGATGACATATTTGAAATGTTTGCAGCAAATTCTAGCATGTTTGCTTTTGCTAAATCATCAAAACTACCATGTTTGACTTGTATTACACACATTCTAGCATTCCATACATGTCTTCTTGGTTCTTCAGTTTCTGATTTATGTATGATTTATTGCTTGTCCAGATCACTTTTCTGAATGCGTAGAGAATCATGCATTTGAAACTTATGACAAATTTATCAAGGAACAAGGAGGTAATTTCAATATTCTTTCTTTTCTTCTCTGTATTTTTAAGATTTTAATTATACATGTTAACAGTTTATAGCTTTGGTTTATGTTTTCATAATTAAGTGTGGTCCAGTAAACCATCAGATTATACTTAATAATGCTCATGAATCATGGTTTTTGGTATGAAATCAGCTGTCGGTGAGCTGTTAGCTGAGTATAGCTTGAAAATTGACAAGCCAAGATTATTCAAGCTGTGTAGAAAATTGGTTTTTTGTTTTGTTTTGTTTTAAACTAGTTCTTTTTTGGCATTCTTTTGTCAAATTCATCTTTCATTATGTACTGTTCTTGTCCTACATTATTCAATAGCTAACATGATTTGGTAAATTTTTTATAGAGGAATTGAAAAAAATGTCGGCTCCTGAGGTAGCTGTGAATTATTATATGGGAGATGACTTGTATCTATTTGGTAAGCTCTTCATTATTTTGACCTAAATTTGTTTACTTGAGGCAAAAAAACCGACATTTCACACTTTCAATATCATTTTTTTCAGATGAATTTCAAACTTCCAGAGTTCCAAATACTAGAAGGCCTAAGATAGGTATAACATATGGTGATGAATGTGAACATCCCAAACCTCATCCAGAGCCATACTTGAAAGGCCTTGAAGCTCTAAAAGCATCTAAAGATCACACGTTTGTATTTGAGGTCTGTTTGTTTCTTTTCTCTGCATTGCTATAGATCTGTTCTTATTATGCTTCTGACAGATCCATGTTGTTGTCGTAGGATTCTGTTTCAGGAATCAAAGCTGGTGTGGCTGCTGGGATGCCTGTTATCGGTTTATCTACCCGAAACCCAGAGCATTTGCTGATGGGAGCAAAACCCACCTTTCTGATTAAAGATTATGATGATCCAAAATTGTGGGCAGCTCTCGAAGAACTTGACAAGTCTGGTTCTCATTAAAGTTTTGACTTAATACTAGTGCGATTCACATAATTTCTTGATTAAAACAAGTAGAATTTTTCATATTAAATTCACCAGATCACCTCACCTGTTTAATTTAGTTACAGGGGGTGATACTATTCTACTACTCTACTACTCCATAATCAGAATTGCTTTGGAGTCAAAGCAAACAAGTAATTTTTTTACTTGTAATTTGCAATAATGTGATAGCTGGCTAGGAAACTTAATGCCAAGGAAATTGCAATATGTGATAGTAAAAGAGAGCGAAGGAGGGAGTGCTTGAAGACTCTTACATATTCATTACTCTTTGTTGGTATGTTATTTGGTGATGGGTGCTCAATATCAGCAATTTTGTACTACTACTTTAAATTGTTTGATATGTATAGTGTCAAATGCCATGATTATTATTTATTATAATACCCTTTATGCCATTTACTTATCTTGTGCCTATTGACCACAATCTTACTAATAATCTTGTGCCTATTGACCACAATCTTACTAATAATCTTGTAAATGGTATTGCTGATAAGATCTTTGACATACTGCATCTTTCCATTACTGAATTGATGACACAAATTTGTAAGGTTGGCCACTAAGCCATTCTCCTCACGCCACTGCTGATCAAGTAAAGTCTCATAATTGTGTTTGTTAGAAGAAGTGTTCTTGTTAGCTTATATGACTAATTTTATATTATGAATCTAACTGTAGTTGAGCATGTCGAAGTTAAACTGAATTCTTGGTGTTCACTTCAGCATTAATATCATGTTCAAATGTTGAATCTTGTTGTTTTGAATTCTTTCAATCCTTGTCCTCTATCATGATTCATGATTCATGAGATTATTGCATTATTGTGTATTGGAGTGAATGAACTGTTGGGTTTTCATTTTTAATAAACATGTTCATCTTGCAATTTGAAATCATGTCAGATCACACTTGTAGCAATGCAGTGCCTATTTTCTTCTCTTGATCAATATGCATAAATTATGAAAATCATATGAAAAATTGATAGTCATTCTTGGTGTTAATTGAATTCTTGGTGTTGATTGAATTCTTGGATACAAATGTTCTGTTTGCTAATATTGTATTTGTAGCTTTTTATGCTTCTAAGTCTGCTGCATTTGTATTATATTAGTATAATATTGAGAACTCGTTTGTGCCACTATATAAGTTTTATTCATGTGTTCATATTTCTAAACTCTTTAGTCCTGTTTTTCTCGGAATTAATATTAACAGGAAGCTCTGGAAGCAGCGAGAGTTCTGAATCTTAAGAGCAATAAATATTTCTCAGGACCATATGGTATAGACTAAGGTCATAAATGAAGATTCTTTATGCAGGTGAATAGAAAGGATACAGAGAAATTTTTCTAAAAAGTGTTTGTTCTGTCAACTGTGTAAATGGAAAGGATACAGAGAATTGTGTAAATGGAAAGGATACAGAGCGACCGGGTTCTGATTTTGAGCTTGTTGCAGTTATTTCTACTTCTATTGATATACTATTACAATTTAAGCTGTAATTTGAATTTATATTGAGAAACGATCACAGTGATGGGATTTGGATCAATCCATCATTTTATGTAACTAGAAAACAGAAAAGTAGGAATCCAACTACAAGGAAGAGGAAAAGGCCGACTTAATCTTGTATGGTTTATTTATTTGTTTTTCATTTTTTTATTGTTATTGCTTCTTAATGTTATTCTTGTATGGTATATAACTTTTTAAATTTTTATAGGTGAAATATGGCTTCTATTGATGATGAAAGTGGTTCGTCTAGTAAGAAAACAGTTGGTAAACATGGTGTGACCCGATTGCAAAAAATTCACAAAGCCAAAAGCAATGGAAAGAGAATTGAGGTAAAATAGCTAGAGTTTTATGATATTGTTTACTCTCTTGGCAATTTTCCTTTTACTGAACTATGTATGAGTGATGGTTACATACATGATTATCTTTTATGAGTTAGTTGTTTGAAACTATTTGAATGTTAAACACTATTAGTGAGACTGTTGATTCTTTATTTGCACTTTAATTTTGTTATAGGTTCAATGGAATTCCAGAGGTCAACCAATCAAGCATAATAGCAAGACTTTTGCTAGTTTCATTGGTGTCACAGTTCGTCGGTTAGTTCCAATAAGCTTGGACAATTGGAGCGCGAAAAAAAATAAAGAGGCTATGAGTTCAACGCTTTTGGATCATGAAGGTGGTTACTACATGGGATTGTTTTGTTATCCTTTCTTATTTTTTTGGTGTTTTGTTTAGAGAATTTGATTGTATGTTTTTGGATTTGGATTGAAGTACTCATAGATGGGCATCTACAAATTTGGCTATGCAAACGCCCTCTTAATATTCTATATGTTATGATATTTGGAAACAATAGGATTTGGTAATTTAAAATGTTATTTGGTATTTGATGGATCATAATATATATGCAATGAGTAACTTAAAGCGTTATTTGTGTTGAATTGAATATAGTTATTTTATATTTACACCAAAAAAAATGATTGTGTAAGAAAAAATATTGTACTGTACTTATTAAAAATATTGTACCAAATATGTACCATTTATTAGCACTTTATTTGAAAGCGCTATCAAACATATGTTATATATTAGCGCTTTTTGTTTAGAGTGCTATAAAAAAACAAACAAAAAACATGCAAAATACTGACTTTGATAGCACTTTAATTAAAACGCTATTATAAATTGGTACTTTAATAGCGCTTTTAAAGTGCTATTAAATAAGAAATATTTACAATAGTGGCGCGGTTAATAGCACTTTTAAGCGCTATCAAAAACAAAAAAAAGCGCTATTAAATAGCTTATTTGGCGTAGTGTTAGTTACCAATTGATTAGGAGTTAGTTACAGTTACTTGATATATAAGTAACCACACACTCTTTTATCAAGTGAGATTTTTGAGTAATGAAAAGGTTGAATACCATTTTCTCTTATTCATCTCAATGCTTTTACTTGTTTAGATTGAATTTTAACATCTCAAATATTCAATTTTTAATATCTTGATAACCAATATTAATACAAAATATGCCTCTCAATTTTGTACATTTATTCATTTAGAAGATATTATCTAAATTTAATTGATATTCATTTGTTTTTGACAAAAAAAAAACGTCACTAAAATTCTGAATTATGTAGCTAAAATACCGATTGACTTTGGCCGATGGAAAAGCGTCTGTGCATCATAAGTGCCGACTTGCAACAGTCTTTTGGCATGCAGATATCAATAAAAGGAGATAGAATTCTCTTCATTTTCTCTCTCCATTTTTCCTCTCCATTAGCAACGTTTTGGAGACATATTAATGCATAAAAATAATAGTACACATTAAATGTCACAATATTACATTAATATTTCCAAATCTTTGGTAATGCACAAAATGGAGAAGAGAGGAAATGAAGAAGATCTTGACTCCAGTAAAAAATGTCGACCTTTTCCTCATCAACTGTTGAAATAAAAGTATCACAAATTTCATCTTGTATTCTTACTACTATATCTCTTGATATAAGATTTGGATCCAAAATCTTTATAAGATCATTAGGAAATGAATCTGCAACAAAGTTATGGATTTTTTGGCCATTTTCAAAAACTTCATCCGTAGGTCTTCTACCAGTAATCATTTCAAATATCAGGATTCCATAACTATACATGTCATCGCATTTAGACACTACAGAGCCCACCCCATACTCTAAAACATATTGCAATTTTAAAATTTGTTAATACTATATCACTAAGAAATTATTTAGTGTGCACCAAATCATAGGAGAATTCAAAAAGACAATATAAGATTCAAGACTTAATATCAATACCTGGAGGAGTATAGCCAACAGTCTCTTTTATTCCAATTGTACTTGTGTCATTGTGAGAGGTACCATCAATGTTTGAGACAAGTCTAGCTTTGCCAAAATCACTCACATGAGCAACCATGTCATCATTAGAAGTACATTATTTGGCTTTAGATCACAATGAAGGATCAATTGTTCACATTCTTGATGAAGATAATGTAATGCCGAAGCAACATCAATAATAATGTTTAATCTATGACTGAGGTCCGTTGTTGTTTGATGCTCTTCATTTAAAATCTCAGGATGCAACCATTATTCTAAGTTTCCATTTTTCATGTAATATAAAGTAAAGCTTTGAATTCTTGACCTCTAAGAGGAGCCAAAGAAGATGGTATTGTTCCGTTGAACGAATTTTGTTGAAAATGAAGGTGTTCTAAACTTATGCATTTACTTAAAGTTATAGTGTTGTGAAACACGATACCTTTTAGACAAAGTATACAATGTTTCTTTATGATCAAGAAACAATTAGGGTAGAAAAGAATGAAGAACACGAAGAACAAGGAGGATTAGTTATAAATGCTATTCTTTACTTTTTCTTAAATCAAGATTACAAGTATACAAGAATAACAAATAACCCTCTCACCCTAAATTAGGATTTGCAGTATGCGATGATAGAGACTAGTTTGCTATTTATGATAAACCTAACATACTAAACTAATGGTTTTTTTTCCACAAATACCCATTACAAGCTAAATTAGGGTATAAGCTAACTTAAACAATTTCACATAACAAACAGGTCCAATTCGAAATACTAACAACCCTAACATTTTGTCACCCACAAACTAGAACACACTTCGACTACAATATGTAGGTCTTTGACACCAACATGTGAATTTACTTCGACGACATGAATAAATCCCGTTGAACCAGAAGCTACTCTTCGACCCAATAGAGTTCGATCCAATATATCTCAAATCTCCACCTTGGAACAAACTCTAATATTAAAGAATAAACTAGCTTTTTCATGCAGTTTTATCAACTGCATACAGTGGAAAAACTTGCAGTTGTGCAATGTCTTGCTGATTATATCAGCAGCATTATGATCTATCAAAACCTTTAGCCCTTGGACTTATCCATGCTCAATTACCCCTCTGACAAAATGTAGCCTCACATTAATGTGCTTAGTTCGCTCATGATAGGCCGAGTTCTTCGACATGTGTATTGCATTTTGACTATCACATTTATAAGTGATAACTCGACCTTGAAGTTTCAGCTCCTTACAAAAACCTTCAAGACACAATTCTTCTTTCACAGCTTCAGTGAGGGCAATATATTCTTCTTCAAGGGTTGATAAGGCCACAGCCTTCTGAAGTGTCTCTTTCTAACTAATTGATGTGCCAAAAATAGTGAAACCATATCCAAAAATAGATATAATGGACCATACAACCTGCATAATCAGAGTCGACATATCCTTCGATTACTACTTTACTATCTTCAACCGAGGCTCCACCATAAATTAAGACTCTGCTTAGAGACCCATTTATGTACCTTAGAATCCACTTCAATGCTTGCTAGTGAGCCTTTCCAGGATTCGCCATGTACCTGCTTACAAGACTTAATACATATGTTATGTAGGGTCTAGTACATACCATAACATACACCAAAGAACCCACTATGTTAACATATGGGGTGCTATTAATATAAGCATTTTCAACCTCAGTACTTAGACACTGATCTATACTCAGCTTGAATTAGGGGTTTGTTGGAGTCACAATAGGATTTGAATTCGACATACCAAACTTGTCGAGAATCTTATGTAGTTATGCCTCTTGAGAAAAGCATAATTTCGACTTCTTTCTATCTCTTTGGATGTCAATCCTAAGAATCTTGGACATAGCTTCAAAATCGTTCAAGTCGAACTCCTTATTGAGTTCAACCTTCACCCTTATTACCCAAGTCTCTGAGGTGGCTTGATGACTCTTCTCGTTCTATCTCTTGCCAATAGGTAGTTGTTGTACCCCTAAATTTTCCCTCCCATTTTCACACAAGACATACTCCTAGAGGTTCCCAACTTGCCCTATGTTGACCAAGATTTGACCAGACAATTTTCCTCCTAAGGCAATGAACCCCCAACTAGGGTCTCAATTTTCATCAAGATGGTTGAGCTCTAAGGATCCCAAATGTTCTCCATTGTCCTAATATTTCCTCAAGATCATCCATGTCAAGTTTCATGCCTTGCTTAACAAGTTTGCTCAATCAATTGCTCAAGTATTGAAAAATCAACTATGCTAGGTCAAAAGTCAACTATGGCCCAAATACAGTCAAACTTCAATATTTTTGGTCAAAATCAATATTTTGAAGTAATATCCATCACTTGATCAAGGGTTTATCATGATTCCTCAAGAAATGCTCCCAACTCATCAAAAGTCAAAAATGGCAAATTAGGGTTTCTATAGGAAAAGTCAACCAAACTTTGACCAAGCATAACTTTCACATAATTCATCCATTTTTCCCAACAAAAGCTCATTTTAAAGAGAATTGAATTCCCTATAACGTCTCTTCATCCCTCAAGTTCAAGAAATGCAACATTTGAAAGATACAAGTTCAAACGTTACAGGTCATTTTTAGAAAGTCAACAAAAGCCACTTTTTACCAAGACCTTTTACATCAAGATAACATCTTCAAATGCAAATTTGATAAAAAGAGGGATTGAAGTAGACATCTTGGGCTTTCCAAAAAGTACCATATCATCATCATGAGATACAAATTGAGCAAGTTATGGCTTACCCAAGTTGAGAAAATTTTGGAAATTTCAAGAATGGTGTATTGAGCAAATTTGGATTTTTGAGTCAATGGCCTAACTTTTTAAGATTTAAATATCTTCCTAAGGTCATAGAAGACCTCTAATCTTATTTTTTCATGGCCTTGTATTTTCTACCTATTATTTACATATTTATTTTAATTTATTTCAAGTAAATATAAAATAAATTATATAAAATATTTGGAATTAGGCTTAGGCATTTGGGCTATTGTTTTGACTTATCTTGAAGCCCACAATTTCGTTCAAGGAGTGACCAGGTTAATTCTAACATAAAAAAGGCATGAAATCTCCATTTTGGGCAATTATTCAAACTTTGATCATGTGTTAAAATCCATGTTTATGGTGAGGATTCTTGTCATCCAATCTTGTATCCTCCATCCACACTATAAATAAATCACCTTGGCAAGCCAAATAGAGGACTACACACGGTACAAGAGCTCTACCAAATTTTCAAGAAAAATGTCAAAATCATAAAAATCCAAAACCTAACTTACAGCCCGTTTCAATCCAATCTAAGCCCTCCATCAACCTTCTGAGCTTCCCAGGAATACATATCACTCCTTATCCATGTCATTTGTAACGCCCATAATTTAATTAATTATTTATTTAAATTATTTTTGGAATATTTATGAAGATGTGTTGTAA